CCAGCCACATTTCAGTACCTATTCCCACATGTTGTAGCGGTTTCTGTATGGGGCTGGAGGAGGAAATGGAAACCCACTCCAGTGTTCTTGCCTGAAAAATTCCATGGACAGAGGCCTGGAGCGCTACAGTCCAAAGGGTTCCAAAGAGTCAGACACGACTGAGAGACTGAGGATGCACTGTATTGGACAGGGCAGGTATTGAACTCTTCCATCATTGTAGGAAGTTCTACGGGGCTACCCTGCTGCCTATATTCCAAGGCTATATTGTTAGATGCATATATGTTTGTGTTTGTTATGTCTTCTTCATCTATGTTCATTTTATCAATTCATAAAATATTTCCTTATCCCTTATGGTGTTTGGGACCTTAAATTCTATTTGTCAAAATTTAAATTTGTAACCCAGGCTTTAGTTGATTTACATTTACCCAAAGAATTTCTCTCCATTACTTTATTCCCTGCCACATCTGAAATTTTCATAATCTACACAAATGTTCCAGGTTTCTGGCCAATTGAAGTGATAAGGGAATCACAGAAAATGGGGGATTTTTTCACACAAAATGGAGCCAGTCAACTTTGTTGAACAAGTCCACTAAGAAATTCATGCTTGTTGATTCAAGTCAGTTTCACTTTCAGATTTATTCAGCACTTTCTTTCCTGCTTTTGTTGATTTCTTACTGAATGTCCCCATCTACTGGTGAATAGTGAGAAAATATACTCTTTCCTTAAATCCCATCAGTCTCTCTTATAGGCTGAAAAAAAATATTCCCCAGAGAGATTTCTATGTCAAATTTCTGTACCTTGTGAAAGTTACTTTATTTGGGGGAAAGAACATTACAGATCTGATTAAGATAAAAATCTTGAGCTAAGAAGCTAATCCTGACTTTCTGGGTGAGCCCTGAATGTGATAAGTATTCTTATCAAAGAGATGTAGGACTCTTCCTAGTGGTCCAGTGGATAAGACTCTGCGTGTTCACTTCAGGAGGTGCGGGTTTGATCCCGGATTGGGGAACTAAGATCCCGCATGCCTCAAGGTGTGGCCAATAAAGAAGGAGGTCATAGCCCAACACACACAGAGGAGAAGGTGGTGTGAACATGCAGGCAGAGATAGGAGTGATGTGCCAGAAGCCCTGAAACACCATGGAACACTAGCAGCTACCAGCAGCTGGAAGGGCAAGGAATAGATTCTTCCTCAGGTTTTCCAGAGGAGTGTGACCCTGCTGATATCTTGAGTTCAGATATCTGGCCTCCTGAATGGTGAGAGAATACCTTTCTGCTATTTTAAGCCATCAAGGTTACGGTAACTTGTTTCAGCAGCCCTAGGAGACTACAGTAAGTCCCCTACATATAAATGAATTTTGTTCTGAGAGCATATTTGTAAGTCCAATTTTATCGTGAGTCCAGAAAAATTAGCCTAGGTACCCAACTAACACAAGAGGCTATATAGTACTGTACGGTAACAAGTTTATAATACTTGCCACACAATCATACATAAAAATAAACATTTTTAATCTTACAGTACTGTATCTTGAAAAGTACTGTAAAACTTGAAAAGTTCAGTACAACGGCTGGCATTAGAGAGGCTGGCATTGACTGAACAGTCAAGCACCAGCTACGTCTTCGCTGCCTCTATGCTTGCTTCTGGACGTCCTGAACTTGAAATAAAGATAATGGACTCCTGTACCTTGGGCTTCCCTGGTGGCTTAGCAACAAGGAATCCCCCTGCAGTGCTGGAGATGCAGATTCTATCCCTGGGTCAGGTAGATCCCCTGGAGAAGGAGATGGCAACCCACTTCAGTATTCTTGCCTGGGAAATCGCATGGACAGAGGAGTCTGCCAGGCTGCGGTCCCTGGGGTCTTAGCAGTCTGACACGACTTAGTACTAAACCACCACCAACAGCCCTACTGTGCCCTCGTGTCCTATACAGCAAAGGACACAGAAGCGCAAGCACTTAGAGAGGATGCAAGCACGTGACAGTGTACACCAGACAACAAACTCACTTTTGTAAACGTACATTCGTGCCTTTAGTTCACAACATGAAGCTTCATATGTAGGGGACTTCCTGTAACGTATTCCCAGAACTCTCCCATCTTCTGCTGAAACCCAGAACTACAGCTGTATTCCTGCAGCGGGGTTTGTAATTTCTCAACTTCTTCCAACGTTAATTCAAAATATCTCTGCATCTCCACCTTTTCTAACTCCTCTTCTTTTGGTGTGGTCATAACTGTCCTTCCTTCTGTCCATGGTTGACTTCTGTATTTTTATGCTCTGCCCTGGTTCCTACACTCCACAACCCTGGACCTTCAGTTACCCTCTCTGAACAGTATTGCTTTGCTGTTGCTCTTTAATAATAACTATAAAATAGTTTAGATATTCAGAAGCATAGAAATAATATAACAATCACTTCTGTACCTGTTACCTTACAAAGTGAAGCTCCCTGTGTCTCTCTTTCCAATCCAATTTACCTATCTTCCCCATTGCACTTTAAGTTCTTCTAAAAATAACAACCAAACAATTTTTTTAAAGTAAATAATGTACCAAAGCTTATAATAGAAAACCATTGTTCCCCAGGCCAAATCCCCCCGTCCTTAACAATTGCTACCCAAATGTAGGCAGTTTCAACTCACTTAGTTCTCTTTTATGGTTGTTACCTCCATATTTCAATATAGCATGCTTATATTGGTGCTTGTTTCTTTTCTTATTTGGAATAACTTTATTGACTCCTTCCTATGAAATGTAAAAATAAAAGGTAAGGACTTTCCTGGTGGTCCAGGGACTAAGACGCCACACACCCAGTGCAGGGGCCTAGGTTCAATCGCTGTTTAGGGAACTAGATCCCACCTGCTGCAACTAAGATTCTCAGGCCGCAATTGAAATCTCCTGGAGATGTAGTAGAGCTCCATGACTGCCCTGGCATCTTCCACTGAGTTGTGTCCCAGGACGCTGTCCCGCACACACGGCACAGAGAGGGGACAGGGGGCTGAATCCAGGCACCATGGGCCCCGGGCCTTCCCTGCTCACATCCTGACATCCAGGGCTGAAGTGGGTCAGGGGTGAGTCTCCCAGGCCCCTGACACCCTGGACTCGGCAGGTGTCTGGAGCAGGCCTGGCTTCACCCATGAGCCCGGGCCCAGGCAGGACCAGGCACGGAATCCAGGTCCTGAGGCCGGGTGTGCCCTCCAGGGGCTCCCAACTGCTGGGTGGGGGCAGGGCACTGCAGACTTGGCCTCAGACCCAGAGGGGCTGGAGCAGTTCCCACAGGAGCCCAGGGGCGGAGAACATGGACAGAGATGTTTCTACAGTGCTCCTTGCTCAGCAGGTTGAGAACAGGGCTCTTCAGTGAGTCTAGGAGCTGACATTCTGTCCTCAGTCACTGGTGCCTCAAGCCCTACAAAGGGGCCCAAACTCAGCCCCGTCCCTCTCCTCCTGCACATTCTTGCTCCCCAGACAAGCTGCCCTCCACTCCTCGGGCTAGGGCTCCAGATCTCCCCTCTCGGGCCCTCTTCTTGTGTTCTTTCCTGCTAAGACACACCCTTCACCCTGCACTCAGACCTGCTCCCCATCCTCCATCTCTGCTCAGGACACCTGCCCTCCCTCTGTGGACACGCCCCGCAGATGTGCTGATGGTCCAGTCGTGACTCTACCTCCCTTCAACCAAAAGTTTCTCAAGGACCGGCCTGGCATTGCTCACTGGGGTCTTCAGCCTCTGGTCCAGCCTGGCCCCGAGCAGGTGCTTCATGAGCATCCTCTGAACTGGAAGCACCATGTGTGGCTGCAGCTCCCAGTGTCCAGCCCACCTCCCTAGGCCCCTCCACTGCAGTGAGCTCCCAGCCCCAGCACATGGCTGCCACTCCTGTGGGGCAATGGAAAAGGGGGCCTGTGGGTTTGAGTTCAGGGTCCTTCTCTCATTTTTTTTCAAATGTTTCTCATTGGCTATCTGCCACTTTCCTATCTGAAGAATTCCAGAGGCTTCTCTCTAAGTGACTGTTAGTCCCCTGGGTACATGTCAACAATGGCTTTCTACTGAGGTTCATATAGTTAAAGCTACGGTTTATCCAGTAGTCATGTGTGGCTGTGAGAGTTGGTCCATAAGAAGGTTGAGTGCCAAAGAATCAGTGCTTTCAAATTGTGGTGCTGGAGAAGACCCTTGAGGGTTCCTTGGACAGAGGAGTGTGACCAGTAAGTCCTAAAGAAAATCAACCCTGAATAGTCATTGGAAGGACTGATGCTGAGGCTAAAGCTCCAATACTTTGGCCACCTGATGCAAAGAACTGACTAATTGGAAAAGACTCTGAAAGATTGAAGGCAGGAGGAGAAGGAGAAGACAGAGGTTGAGATGGTTGAACGGCATCACCAACTCTATGGGCATGAGTTAGAGCAAGCTCTGGGAGGTGGTAAACGACAGGGAGGCCTGGCGTGCTGCAGTCCATGGGGTCGCAAAGAGCTGGACACGACTTAGCAACTGAACAATAACAATGACCCTGCAATCCCAGTCCTGGGCCTATATGCAGAACTGACTCAGTGGAAAAGACCCTGATGCTGGGAAAGATTTAAGGCAGGAGGAGAAGGGGACGACAGAGGATGAGATATTTGGAGGGCACCACCAACTCGATGGACATGAGTTTGAGCAAGACCTGGGAGTTGGCGATAGAGAGGGAAGCCTGGTGTGCTTCAGTCCATGGAGTTGCAAAGAGTCAGACATGACTGAACAACGGAGCTGAATATTCATTGCAGCACTGTTTACAGTAGCCAAGATATGGACGCAGCCTAAGGTGTCCCTGTCACAGCCCTGAAGCCCTATAGGCCCCTGTTCTCCTCTCTCAGTTCCAGTCTAGGCCCCTCCTCCATGGGAAGATTGCTTCCATGCCTGCATCCCTTCTGGGTCAGAAGACACCTACTGGGCTTCCTCAGGGCCACTGGGACCCTGGAATTCCCCCCCGCCCCGGTCATCTCCACTCTGTCCCCCCTTACCCCTGCCCCTGTCCTGGGAGCATCCTCAGGGCTGTCCCCTCCCAGGGATCCTGCAGGGGCCTCCTCTTTCAGCTTCTGCCCTTAAAAGGGGGCGATCATCTGTCCACCCCTATTCCCTCCCTGAGATGCCCTGAAAGGCTCCCCATCAGCATCAGACACAGCATCCTTGTTCATTTCCAATCCCTTCTTCCCTACTTGGAACCTGCTCACCAGTCTCCCAGGCCAGGAGCATCCTGCTCAGGTAGGACTTCTCCTAGATCTTTCCAGACTCCACCTCGATGGCAGCTTTGGAGCCCAACACTGTGTTAATTTATTCTATGGTTCCTCAATGATGCCCCACCTTGGAGTCATGCTGGGTTGGGGTCTCCCTTCCTCAACGAGGAAGCATCACATGTGAAGGCAAAATTGGGTGGAGGGGATTCACAACAGTCCCTACTCCCATGTCATCCTGTCCCCACGGTCTTGCTCTCACCCCATGCCTCCTCCCTGCTCACCCCTGGAGCTGCCCTCCTCTGGGTGGGGCTGTGTCCCTCAGACGGCAGCTCCTTCTAGTGATGCTGCGGGGAAGTGAGGCTGGGACAATGTGCCTTCAGGTTGCTGAGGAAGGAGGCTGTGACTCTGAAGGCGTGTCCTGCATCCCAGAGCCACAAGCTTCGGTCCTGGTCTCCCACCCACGGGCCCTGCTGACATGTCAGCTGTAGAGCAAAGTGTTCAAACTCACAGCTTTGGCATTTCCATATGGGGTTCCCATTTCCAACCTTTTGACCTTAGGGAAGGCACTTGATTCACCAAGCCTTAGTTTTCTCATCTGTAAAATGGAGTTAGCAGCACAATCCACAGTCCCTTTTCTGAAACCCGTGGGATCAGATACTCTTTAGAATTCAGAATTTTTCAGCTTCAGACAGGTGACATGGTACATCTACTCTCTATGACATCAGATCCCACTGGGATCTGAAAGCACCTTGTAATCAGACACATCAGTGTTTCTACAACTGAACTTTTGAATAGTCACAAGTGAAATAACAAAGATCATAACTTGTCTCATGTGTCTTCAGGTCAGATTTTGTTAAAAAACAATTTTTCAAATATTTCTTTTCAATTTTGAAATATTGAGGGTTGAGACTGAAGGGTTGGTATTAAAGATAAGGACCATCTACCCTGTGTCTCCATAGATAATGGCACACACAGCCCACAGAGATACAAAAGGTTCATGTTTGAGGCCAGACCCAGCCCAGCTGTGAGGTTTGGGATAAGACAAGTCTCCTGAGGTCAAGGGTGATGGGTGGGGAGAATCATTCTGGAGTGGCTGTGGTCGCGGTGGTGGTTTAGTTGCTACTGAGACCCCATGGACTGCTGCCCACCAGGCTCCTCTGTCCATGGGATTTCCCAGGCAAGAATACTGGAGTGGGTTGCCATTTCATTCTCCCAGGGATCTTTCCGACCCAGGGATCGAACCCGTGCCTCCTATATCCCCTGCCCTGGCAAGTGGATGCTTTACCACCAAGCCATCAGGCTGTTACCCGAGTGTTTGGGCCACTGGTTCAAACTCCACAGATCCAGAGCCTCAGCCGTCACGGCGCCCTGAACCTTTTCCAGGCATCTGACTCTTTCCACCTCCAGAGCTGGATCTTTCTCTGATGGGTCCTCAGTGAAGACCACTGCTGTCCTGGTGACTGTGACCTGCCTGACCATCACAACACCATGTCCGCCCGGTGGGCACCCCCGGACCCGGACGTCATGGCCATCATGTGCCTCTGCCTCCGCCTGCCGCAGCTGTTCTCCATGTGTGTGGCCATCTCCCTGGTGGCCGGCAGGGCCACTGAGCGGGGAGCCGTAGGAAACTGGTCCATGTCCATCTGGTGCTTCTGTTTTGCCATGACCCTCATGGTATTCATTGTTGAGTTCTATGGCTTCCACTCCCACTTTCCGTTTTTCTGGTTCAACTTCCCCGTGACCTATGCCTGCTATGCCACCCTCCTCTGCCTCTCGGCCTCCATCACCTACTCCATCACCTACGTCCAGTTTCTGCCTGGTGGTCCTTACCGGGACCGGGTCATCGCCGCCTCTGCCTTCTCCTGTGTCGCATCAGTGCTGTATGCCATAGATGTGGCCTGCACGTGGGTTGCCTATGGGTTCAAGGAGATCCCCTGCTATGTGCACACCATGCCAGGCCTGCTGAAGGTGCTGGAGACCTTTGTGGCCTATGTCATCTTTTCCTTCATCATCAACACCTCCCTGTACCTGCACCAGCTGGCCCTGGAGTGGTGTGTGGCCGTGTACTCCATCTGCTTCATCCCAGCAGCCCTGGCCATCCTGCTGAACCTGGGTGAATGGGAATACAGGCTGCCCAGACCGTATCCCATTTTCCAGCTTGTGCTCACCCTGCTCTCTGTCCTCCTCTACATCAGCGCTCTGGTCCTCTGGCTGCTCTACCAGTTCTACGAGGAGTTCGGCGGGCAGCCCCAGAGGTCCAGTGATGGGGACTGCAGGGACGAGCTCACCTACGACATGTGCACCTGGGACCAGCGACTGGCTGTGGCCATCCTGACAGCCATCAACTTGCTGATTTACGTGGCTGACCTGGGGTACTGGGCCCGCCAGGTCTCTGTAGGGACTGAGGACCAGCCCAGGGACTCCTGATCCTCTGCTCACAGGAGGTATCCTCACTGAGCTCTGGTGTTCTCTGATGCCCTCTTCCTGGCTCTCTCTCCCTCCTCACATCCTTCCCCATTCATCTTACTCTCTTTTCTGTTTCCTTCTCTCCTTCTACTCTGTTTCCTTCCTGCTTACTGTAGTTTCCCACATCCTGTTTTGCTTCTTTCTCTCATCTTTTCTACGTTTTCTGCTTTTTGCCCGTTTTCTGGTCATCCTTGGTTTTCTCGTTTCCTGTGTCCTGATCACCTCTCCCCATTTTCCTTCTTCTGATCCATCAGGACCTGATACTCCTTCCTTCTCTGCCCACCCCACCCCCGCCCCCCGCGTCCTAAGGTGCTGACTCCACAGCACAAAGCCTTCTGTGTGATTCAGCCCCCCATCTCCCATGGGAGGGGAGTGTACAGGGCACCTTCACTTTAATTTAAACTAAAATTTCTGGAGGTCTATAATTTTCAGTGGCAGGAGTTTTGAAGCAGAGACCCTGGGTCCCTGGGTCCCACCTAGTGGTCCAGGTCGGGTGATCCAGCCCCACTTGAGGTTGGTTCCAGAATTTTTTCAGGCTCACTAAACACCTGCTGCCTAGAGGCCATCTTAGAGGAAGCCAGGGGTAGAATACTGTCCATCCCAGCTACTCTCTGGGGAATCAAAGTAGGAGCTGGTGACACAGAGACTCACAGACAGCTGTCTGCAGTGTTGGTGAGGGGCAGCGATGTGGCCCTCCCGCCTCAGTGATCAAAACAGCAGGTCCTGCCTCTGCAGGGAGAAGAGCATGGCCACTGCAGCCTTAAGGTGACGTTAGCCTGGGAGTTTTTTTCTTTTCTTTTTTTGCTATCTTCTGGTCAGGAGGGCAAAAATGAACTGGGTGACTCTGTTCTTAAAGGGGAAATTTCTGTTTAAGTTCTCTTGGGCAGGTTTCTTTGTAGGGAGTGGGGGTTGCTGCTTCCATTGTCAAAGAAACTGCATTGCTTGAATGTGAGAGGGCACACACGTGTGTGTTTCTGTGTGCTGACCACTTTCTGCTGCAGCTTCTTGATTCTCTGGGACTCAGACACAACGTGGTCTATAAAATACATATAATTTAAATTTTTTTCTGGCGCTTCTGGTTCCCAAAGATCCTGCTGTCAATTGTAGAGAAAACCCTCATCCCTTCTCAATTTATAATGTCCTTTTTAACCTCAGCATAAAAATGAAAGAAAATATACCCCCCCCAAAACAAAATCTGCATACTCTAATTGCCCCAGATTTGCCTAGAGCTCAGAACAGTCCTAGCCAATTTCCACCCTCACCCAAACCTGGGTCTCTGGGAGCACCTCCCACTGACTCCCGCCCACTCCTGAACTAGAGCCTATGGGTGTGAGCCAGTCTGTGACACAAGATGTTGGGCCCCACCCCAGTGCCAACTTCCTGTCGCCTAACTCTTAAAGGGGCCATGACAGCACCTGGATGCCTCTCTGGAAAGGTATGTTCCTGTTTGCATGCTCAGTGCACATGTGTGTACATGTGTGTGTGCCCGTGTGCTCCCCTGCATTGAGACCAACAGCCTTTACAGTTACTGGTGGCAGTGAAGGCCCCACAAGTCTCCAGGTCTCAGCCACAAAGCCTCTGAGTCCAGCAGCCTGGCGTCACCAGGGCCAGAGGGGCTCCACGCAAGCAGAGTTGTGGGGGAGGGGAGGGGAGGGGAGGGGTGGGGCCTCACGCCCACCGCCACACCTACACCCAGAGCCGCAGCCGGCCCGGGAGAACGCTCTCGCGCCGCGTACCGGCCACCCCCCACAGCCCCCCCACCCACTGCTGCCCCCACTCCTGTACTGGGATGAAGCATGTGATCTTCACCCAGAGGCAGGTGGGGGTGAGGGGGAGGGCTCCCAGGATCCCTCAGGAAAAACTTAAGAAAGAATGAAATAAAACTCATATACTAAAGCAAGGCAAGAAAAATTTTAACCTAAACTTTTCCTCTGCCCTTTGGGCCATCCCTCTCCCCTCTAGTGTGCATTCTGCATCTGCAGGATGTTTAACCAACACTCCCCAAGGGCAGAAATACCTGAACCACCATAAAGATGAATTTTCCTTGTGCAAGCCGTGTAACTCCGTAGAAGATAACACTACTTACTGACTGAGGACCTGGTTAATGTCAGTATTACCAGTATTCTGCTTGTTTTACAAGATTCTTGTTTCTCTTTAACAGAGCTATGATTGAGGCTGTGGTAAAAAATAACAGTGACTAGATTCCTCCAAACGATTCATATAATGTATAGTTTTATAAGATCCATGATTGTAATAGTGTGACTCTAGACCCGGGAAGAAGCAACAGGAGGGAACCATTTCCTGTAGGCTGAAGAGACTAGTAAGACAGGTGGGCCAGAGGGTTAAGGCTCATGTTGGACTTCCCTACTGGTTCAGATGGTAAAGAATCTGCCTGCAATGCAGGAGACCCAGGTTCAATCCCTGGGTCAGGAAGATCCCCTGGAGAAGGGAACCCCTCCATCCCCACGACCTCTGCCAGATATGCTGGTGGTGAACATGTTTCTTGTCACAGTGTGTTTCCACCGAACCTTGCCTGTGGTCCAAGTCTCCAGCGATGCTTGTCAGAAACACAAATTTCAGACTTCCCTGGTGGTCCAGTGGTTAAGAATCTGCCTGCAGTCACATGTTCGATCCCTGGTCCAGGAAGATTCCACATGCCTCTGGGCAGCTAAGACCATGGGCCACAACCTCTGAGTCTGTGTTCAGCAACAAAAGAAGCCACCACGGCAAGAAGCCAGCACACAGCAACTAGTGAGTAGCCACTGCTTAGCACAACTAGAGAAAGCCCACACAGTGACGAAGACCCACCACAGCCAAAAGTAAAATACGTAAATAAATAAAAAGAATTTTTAAAAACCCTGAGGGAATGGGATGGGGAGGGAAGTGGGGAGGGGGTTCAGGATGGGGAGCACATGTACACCCATGGCTGATTCATGTCAATGTATAGCAAAAAACACCACAATATTGTAAAGTAATTAGCCTCCAATTAAAATAAATTAATTTTTTAAAAAAGAAACACCTGAACTGCTTCCACATGCCCCCATAGTCTGAGGTCTCCCAGACTCCCTCGTTCCTGCACATTCCTTGACTTTCCACTTCTTCAGAGTCTAGCTCAGCAGCCTGAGTGGTCTTGCCCTGTTTGGAGAGCTTGTGTTTCCTTTAGAGAATGCAAAATCCTTTCTGCTGGATGTACAGAGAGGCTGACCCTAAGCAGGGGACGAGGAAGAGGAAGCCCAGAATGAGAGGGAGGAGGATTCTGCATCCACGGATGGATCCACAGTCACATGTGGTCCTGCCTCCTGTTAAGTGGACCCACAGCTCTGGTCTGGTCCCCCAGAGATGAACCTTGAGTAGTTGGAGAGCCCAAGAAATCTGGTATCTAGTTTCAGTTCTTCCACAGGACAAGTCACGACCACAGATGAGTCTTGTCCCCGATCTGAACCTTAGTTTCCCATTTGTAAAATGAGAAAATTGGACTAAAGTGGTGGTTTTTAAGCTGTGTTCTCTGGAGACCTAGGTTTCTGATGAGGCAGTGGGGTTTCAAGTAGGTGTTGACCTCACTTAGCACTTTCTCTAACTAGAGCAGCCTTGCCTGGATCAATCTCTTATTCAAGATCTCATTTGCAAATACGATTGGAAAGGTTGAAGACAATCCATGTACTCATCTTTAGGATGCTGTTTAATAAGCCAAGGTACAGACAGGAGAGGGAATACTGCACAGCTGGAAAAATATAAGGATGCTCTCAAAAATGATCGTAAATATCTCCAGGATATGTTAAGTAAAAGGAGTAAGATACAAATCGACATGTGTATGCTATCTTTTATGTAATAAAAAAGGAAAAAATAAAAGTAAGTACAATTGTATTTGCTCGATTTGTATTAAGAAGCTTGAGAAGGGCTCTGGAGAGTTAGTGGAGCAGCAGTCCTGGAGGGGTAGGGGAGATGAGCGGAGAGTGGATAAAGCCACAGGTAAAACCGGGTTTCTCAATGTGTGGCTTTTTTAGAATATCTTTATTTTGAAACATGCCAATATATTTTTAAGAAAACCAAACTGACATTTGAAAAAAATGTACCAAGTGGAGAAGAAGGGTCAGGGGAAGGATGGTTGGCAGATGGTCTCCGTGTTCTCCGCAGCCTTGATGGACAGACGAGGGGAGCTGAGAGATGCCCGCACAGGCCTGTCTCCAAAGGCAGAGGGAAGGGAGGCGACTTGGGTCCAGGGATCTGGGGCAGTGAGGGGCGCTGTGGCCTCCAAGCCAACCTACTTAGCGACCAGGGCCTTCTCCAGCCCTTCAGCACACACATTTGATGGAGAAGCCCCCAGTGCCCAAGCCTCAGGCCCTTCCCTTGCTCTCTGCCTGGCCTGGGCTTGCTGTCTCCCAAGGCGGTGGCCAGAGGCTCCCTCCCCAGCTGGCCAGCCAGTCAAACCTGGGATGGGACTTGTGCTGCCGCAGAAGGAGAAGGGATTTGATTTGTCAGTTCCCTACATGATTAGAAATTTGCAACCATCTTTTCCTCTAATAGTATTCAAGTCTTGGACCTATTACTTAATCCCTGTATGACTTTGGCCAAGTTATTCAACTTCCCTGTAACCTCAGCTTCCTCATCACAAAGTGAGCAGAGTAACGGCCCCTGCTGCACACGAGATCACACACGTGAAGCACCTAGAACGGTGCCTGGTGCCCAGAGAGCCCTGATAAAGGCCGGCCACTGTGTCACGGTCCTGGTGTTGTGCTGGGCTGTGTGACGGGCACTCGCTCAGGGAAGGAGAGGAGCTCTGTCAGGTGGGGGAGCTCAAGGAGGAGGATGCTGAGGTCACACGGGAGACCTCTTATTCCAGCATCGGGTAAGAATGGATTCATCCCTCCATCCTTCCTTCCTTCCATCACTCCATCCATCTCCTCACTCACTGGCAGACACCAGGACCTGCGGCAAGCTCTGGGAATAATGAGATCACAGTGGAGCAGCCCTGACCCCAAGGATCTCACAGGAGAGTGAGGAGGAGGAGAGAGAAATCCAGCCAGCAGGACCGCAGGTGTGTGGGGAGCCAGGTAGGTCAGGGGTTCAGAAGGCCATCAGGAGCAGTTCTTCCTTTATTAGGACCAGTGGTGACGGTGCTGTTCATGGGTCCCCACTTCCCCCAGACCACTGCTGGGCACCCTGTCTATGGGATCTCAGTCCCCTTCTCAGCCCTTTGATGGACAGGACCCTGATCTCACAGAGGGAGACACGGAGCCAGGTGGGCTGACTGAAGCTGGTCTCTCTAGAGCATCAGCCTGCCCTTCCCCATGACTGGGCTTCCTCCCCTGAGAGCTGGCTGTGCAGGAGGCAGGGGCCCAGGGTGGGGGCAGGGCCACAGCACACACTGTCCTCTGGGGTCTTGAACCTCACCTCAGGGCCACCTACGAGGTAAGGGGAGCCCTCCCCAGCTTTCCCATCCTCTGGGGCATCCAAGAAGAGGTGGCAAGAGTACACAGAAGAACTGTACAAAAAAGATCTTCATGACCCAGATAATCACAATGGTGTGATCACTCACCTAGAGCCAGACATCCTGGAATGTGAAGTCAAGTGGGCCTTAGAAAGCATCACTACGAACAAAGCTAGTGGAGGTGATGGAATTCCAGTTGAGCTATTTCAAACCCTGAAAGATGATGCTGTGAAAGTGCTGCACTCAATATGCCAGCAAATTTGGAAAACTCAGCAGTGGCCAC